TCAAACATAAAGGTTGAACAATATGAGCGTCGATAAACTTATGAACGTCAATACCATTTGGATCTTCAGTGCCTTTTATCAATAAATATGCAGGGAAGAATGAGAAAAACTGATAAGAGAAATATACCATAAGAAGAGTCTTATCTAAATAAAACACTTCATACGGTTTAAAAAGCAAAATGTATGTACATGGAGCCCTTCTCCACTGCTCCAAAGCATCCGATACGTCAGACCGTAAATAAAACAATTTAAATTAAACGTAATATATATTGGTAAATTAATTTGGAAATTATTTTAACAACGGCCCGACGTTTCGGATGCGTTTTAAACCGTTAAAGTGTTTTTATTTAATTGTGTACTACCCGCGTACATTACAGACTGTAGTAAAGACTGTTATCATCAAGTTTAATAAAAATCTACATCGGACTCAAATCCATTAAAATATTCATTCCAACCTCGGACTCAAAAGGAGAAAGTCATATTTTTTCGTTGTACATAGTAGGTGTACATTAACCTAAATATACTAAATTCTTTTACTTGAACTATGATGATAACATTTACGTAAATATGAAAAGTGTGGTAGTATGAGTATCATTATTATATAATTTATATCTTACTACTATGACTTGTAGTAAAAAGGTCATGCTTTTGTCACGTTCTTTTTACACGTGTTCTTTGGGAGGGAGTAAATTATACAGGAATATTACTCAATAGTCAAAAACGATAATTGCCTTGGATCATTTTAAGCACATGTAATACTCGGTTTAAATCTTAAACCATCCAAACAGATTTGGTAAAACAGACAATGTGTACCACTTGGTTGTAACAGATCAAAAGGCGAATAAAAGAGGTCTATAACTATAATAATCACACCTATTTTTTTTTAATATCAAATTGTGTTACTCGCCGTTAAACGTAAAGCCTGTTGTACCTGTATTCAATATTCTGTGTCAGTAAAAAAACTCTATTTTCATTTATCAAAAACGTACTATAAACTTAAGATGTCTTCATTCTAAATTGTCAGGTTCTAAGTAACAAGGTACTGTAAAAATTAAACAATAATAGTTTTACACAGTTTATTTCCATACATTGCAATGATTATGGTATGTACATTAGTATCAAATCAATATAATGTATAATAAAATGTAAATATATCTATTATTGGCACCAACTTCATCATCAATGGACGCTACATTGGGGCAAATTTGAAAAGGCGTTTTCTGCTGCAAGACTTTATTGCACAAAAGGTTGGGACTACAAAGCACACACACTTTAATTGAGACGTACACGTTTTAATAGTCCATTTTATTCTGTCTCGTTTTGAGGTTCTCTCATACACATTAAGACGCCTTTTCACATTGCCCCTCACAAAACATTCTAACTGCTTCGATGTTTAACTTCGACCAGCCTTTTGAGCACATATAGAAGCTGAGCTGGTCTACACACACATTTATAATATTAATAATGATAAAAGAGGCGCAGGGTTCGCTTAGAAGAAGGATTGAGTCCGAAATACAGGAAGTCACTAAAAGCGTTTAACAACCGTGAAGTGTATTTTACGGTTGAACGGTGTGTGTAGGATATTTTTAATAAAGCATTTAATTATGATAATTATTGTGTACGATATTAAAATAGCGTAAAGAGAGTTTCGGATACTTTACTTTGAAATTCCCTAAAAAACAATCGATCACGAGACATTAATGGCGTCGATGATTTATATTCATATTTTTTGTCATTTTAATTCTTGTAAAACAAATTAATTTATACGCGCCAAAGTATATTTCACTAAACTGCTTTAAACGTACAAGCCAGTTCTAAATTTAAATTAAACCTTTGATAAGTTACCTCTTTGGTCGCCATGTTGCGGAGGAGAAGATCGTTCCATATTTATACTAAACACAAGAGATTTGGATTTTCATAGAAATAGTGCACAGCAACTTCGATTTATTTCGGACAAGATCTTCAAAGTAATGCTGAAATTTCCATGTTTGAGTTTGAAATATACTTTATAACAATTATTATAGATATAAAATGACTATAATTAATGTTTTAAAAAACTGATACGTGTTGAATATCGTAGTAAAACCGTAAAATACAATGTCATCTAAATATCCGCAACTATAGGTATTTGGTGAAACGCACAGACGAGAGAAAGGGTCTCTACATAACTATCGACCGCTGGACGGATCATTCAACGTATCCAGGTACAAATTAATTTTGTTTTTACCATACATCCACTGCATCATGTTATTATCTTATAGGATATAAGGTATAAGACTGCTCCAGTTAAGTGCTGCTCTCCGAGGTACATTGATGATACCACCTACTCCGGCCCGGCAGCAGAAACATCCTAAGAACCACTTTTCTTACGACCTAAGATGATATCAAAATTAATCATTCACAGAATTCAGAGTAGTTCTAGACTAGATTTTCTATTTGTTAAAGTACGCTATTTAAATAAAATACTTTAACTGTTTAAAACACGAAATATATTAGTTAAAATTATTTACTTATTTACTCTTTTAGTAGGTGGTATTAGATGGTATATTTCGTTTTTCAAACCGTTAAAGTGTCTAATTTGAATGTATACTACTCGCGTAAACTACAGACAAGACAAGACATAATCAACTGAATAAATCTAATTGCTTGACTTGATAAATTTTACAAATTAGCTCAATTAAAAAAATCAATAATTTAAAATAAAACACTAACATGATGCAGACATTGTGTGGATTCTTTTTGAAGTCTCCAATTGACTTGAGAGTATAAAAATACATCTTCTAACTCTAACTTAATTATCTTTTAAATTCTTTTAACATTTTTTTACAAGCTTCCCCGCGCCTCGCGTGATATCACAATTCTTAACAACAAGTAACTGGGAGTGACAGCTTTGGTTATACAAAATGGATTTTTTATCAATGTCAACATTTGAAAACTTTAATGTTTTTGACATGTTATCGCTCTCTTACATACGACTCGGGCAGTAGGCTTGAACCGGCATTGCGCGAAAGGTTCATGTATCAATAAGTTGAAAGAAATTCGACGATGACGTCTAGTACTCGGTAGAACCAAACGTTGTAGATGCCGGTTCGAGTTCTGCGCGAGTCGAATTTTTCAATTGATTATCGATTTTTAATTTATACGTCAACATGACAGGACTTTTGTATTGGGTGCTAAAGGCGAAAAACTATGAAGTTTTGTATACCCTTTCGAAACTATACAATAGGATCCAGCTTCAGAATGTCTTATATCCATCGCATATAACCAAACAGCTTAAGAGGATGATGCATTTATATCGTTTTACAATCAGCTCTTATTGATTACCGTACGTTCATTCTGTTGCGAACACGTAATGCAAGTAAACACGACTTTAATGCCAAGCATTAGGGTATAAATTGCATTGATCAACGCGTACACGTACAACGTATACCCTAAAGCGTGAAGGATGAAGACGGAAAGGGTTCTACTTAACATTTAACATTGAACATCTGATATATTTCTCTTACCTACAAGATTGTTGCAAAAATTGTGTTAGCAAATGCTTTCATACAAAAATGTCGCCGTTAGCCGGACTTCTAAAATTGACATCGAAATTTACAAACGGACAGGAGTCTAGTCATTTTTATTATGTTTAACGTTCAACTTGTCAATATGAACTCAAAAAACAATTTGAAAATTCGCCATAAGACGCTTGAGAAGGGTAAGACACCTTTAAACACATTATGTTTCAGAGGCCGAAAATGTGAAAATAAATATAAGTTAGCCATGTTAATTTTAATTGGAACCTCCTGTCACGTCAAGCTATTATACATTTTGACATCTATAAAATATCGAATATTAATACATCGACTACAGTAATAATTATCTTAATTACTCATTGGTGTTCATTTTACTTGAATTCCATTCAAATTTAACAAAAAGTTACACAACTCCGTTTATAACAAAAAAATATAACAATTTGGCACATTTATAAAGGAAAGGAAATTGTGAACAAGACGGATGTTGGAATCTCGTTATGGCAACATTTGATTAAGTGCTTGCCAATATTGCAAAGCAGGCGTAGGATTAACGAGACCCATGAGGTGATAGAAACTAGAGCGACTAATAGAGAAAGATACATCGACTACTAAGCCTAAATACAGACATCAACACTAAATTAATATATTCGTATCACATAGACATATGACTAGCACATTTATTTCATGAAAAGTGGAAATGTAACTTAATCAAAGAGTGACTACTACGAGTTTGACAGTTAATAAAAATGACGATAACATAATTCCATTGTTTACTAGCGCCTCTAGTGGATATTAGGTAATTAATAAAGACATTTGTTTTTTTACTATCATTTAACTTAACCGTTGGGTATCATCTGAAATGGGGTAGTAACATCAAGATGAACTATGTCTTAAAAAAAGTACTTGTATCTTCTTTTAAAAGAAAATCGGTACCAATAAGTTCTATAAAAGTCGTTGAAGGTGATTTTTATTAGATTTCCACTTACACATATTACTACAGTAATCAGTAAAAACGTTACGATTATTTGATATAAATAGTTGCGAATAATAGTGAGTATTCTTTTGTTTATTGCATGTTTTACTATTTCGAAATTGATAAGTGTTTTTGCAATTGCATCATTAATCTAGGCTTTAACCGAATAAACCGATTAATATTAGATAATTATTTTATTATTGATTTATTTATTGAATAAGGAATACTCACTACGATTCTCAATCAATTGACTACGCTGGTATGTAACTTAGAGTACGTGCTGCCAACAATCAGCAGTTGGGTCCCAAGTCTGCTCTATATGAACTAGTGACGAGGCAGTAGCAGTCCACTTAGAACACCTTACAGCACAAACCGTACCCACGACACACCTACGACATGGCATTATAAATAGCAAACTTGGGACTGAGTAGGAGCAACATACTAGGGAAATGTGTTGATTGGTTGCGCTCCTTGGGATCCCGTGGTTTTGCAGCTCAGCCTCTGGGTGATTAACTAAATGGGGTAAGTAGTATTATACTGAAGATTAGGAGTATGAAAGTTGCTTTGGTTTCTAATGATCCTGAGTGCAATGCTCTCACAACTGATGGATTCAGCGTACGTTTTGGAAATACCTGTTAAGAGAAATCAACATATTTTAGTATAATATGTAAGCTAGTATGTCACAAAGCTTGACATTAAGTGTCACTGTCATTTTGACTTTTGGTTCTGACTTATAATGATTATATATTATTTCTGGTGATGGAAAACATCCGGGCGTCTCTAGGAGCCAAAAATTCAACGATACTTGACTAGGTAAAAAACCTTTATGTCCTCTTAGGAGGCCCAAGTTCCAGGAGTGGGAAGTTACAGAGCTGATTTGAATACACATACCGCAACAGCGCCTCCACCAGTTGATACTGCAACACACCATATTTCCTCTGTGTCCGTGGTGATGAGGGATGCTCGCCAGCAATGGAGCGAGGTGTCTTGTGTGATTATTCCAGGCTCTGACCTTCCGGAGGTCAAGACCCATTTCACACGGACATTACGTCCGCATACGCTGCACGTCAAACGCCATCCTTTGGATACGATGTCCGTGCCTAAAGATTTTGCTGTTGCCGCACCTATGAGTTTCTTTTATTAGTTTAGACAATTAGATACACTATTGAAGTTTCCGAAGAAGGGCTGACAAGAAACATGCTAGTATTTTTGGTAGCAAGCCAGTAATACACAAGCAAACTTTTTAAATAATTAATAAAATAATAGTAATAGTTAGTCTGTGTTCTTAAAATCATAAACTAAGTGGAGATAATATAGAAAGATTAGCTGAGCCGGCAAACGTTGTTTTGCCATATAAATAATTTTACTAAAATGTCTATTAAAAAATAAGGATTGATCTAGAAGGGAAGGTTTGTCTAAAAAATAAAATTAAGGGTGAACAACCCTTATCACTTAGGGGGATGAAAAATATATGTTGTCCTATTCTCAGACCTACTCAATACACATATCAAATTTGGTGAAAATCGGTCGAACCGTTAGAAGTGTTAAGTTCGAACACCGTGACACGAGAATATTTAGAATAAAAGGAAAAAAAAATACATACCGCATAACAGAAAGACGTAACTTTCTTGACCTAGGTTGCCCTTGAAAAGGTTCCATGGATTTTAAATACTTTAAAGCTGCAAAGGTTATATTAAAACCCTAGCCTTCGGATAAGAAGGGGGGAAAAAAAAAAAAAAAAAAAAAAAAAAAAAAACCCCCCCCCCCCCCCCCGCCGGGGCAAAACCCCCAAAAAAAAAAAAAACCAAAAAAAAAAAAAACCCCCCAAACGGAAAAAAAAACCCTCTCCAATTCTCTAAGGCGTGCCCTTTCAGAAGAGCGTGTCCCCACGCAGCGATATTCACCACCTTCTTCCCACATTGCTTCTGATATACCTAGATTTATATATAATCCATGTATAATCTTGTAAAACTAATATCCCACTAAATTAAATAACAGACTGATTTCGATTAAAAAAAATGTTTCGACTACATAGAACTTCCGGTCATTCCCAGCTATCTATATATGTATATTTAATTTTAAATTTGACCTCTTTTACAATTTTTGTTACAATGCAAAACATGTTGACGGCCTCTTGGTTCGCCTATATTTTTTATGAGAAAGGAAGACAGACAAACATGGATTCACGAATAGAAGGTAAAATACCCCAGCTACATAACATCTATATAAGATGCGCTGTCGGCCTAATTTGGCTTTGTATATTCGGAAATCTACAGATTGAAACCGACACCCGATTAAACTTCACGGCTTATTCATCTATGGGTTGTAGTCGTATACATACAATACATACAATGTCTAATATGTTAAAAAATAATAAATTGAGTAGAAACATGTTATACCCGATGGGGTTCGAACTCACGACCCGTTGATCATTACCGTTGACCGTTAGAACAACTAGCCCGATGTAATTATTTTAGATTAGTATGTATCCAATAATTTGTTTCCATATTTCAAGGGCATATTTCTTTCTTACCGAGTACTCCATGAGCGTGATGTGACCCCGCTGGTGCCCAGCTATCACTCGCATTTCCGACTACTCTTCGCCACCAACAACCCACGCTTCCTAAATAAATAAATTTCTATTTACAAAGATATTTCTATAATAGTACTTATAAACTCCTGCTTCGAATTAAAAAAATATTTTAGTGGTGGATAGACCATTAATGGAGGAAGGCTTTTGGCTATAAAACATCGGGCTGGCACCAGTGTGGAGAAACAGTAAAATGTGATAAAAAAGGGGAAAATTATTCATCTTTGAGAGCTTCCTGCGTGTGCGGCGAAAACGGTTCAAAAAACCAAAAACATGTGGACAAGAAAGATTCTTCTTTAAATGATCTTAATAAATGTCTGCGAGACTAGTCTATCTTTTAAGAACGCCGGATGATCGTGGTATATAATTTTAAGTAAGCGGTTTTGTAAAAATGAATAATATTATAATGAAAAAAATAACTATTACACGCTGACGAAGTTGCGAAGGATAGTATTGCATAAGACAGAGTTAAGTGCCAATATCGCTTACCTTTAGGGCAGTGCAGTTGGACGTTACCGCCCAATGGCACCTCGACCTTTTGATGTATCGGCTCTTCGTTTGCTTCTGTTGATGTTTGAACCGATTCATCAGGAGCTAAGACAGAACTTTAATTAATATAAGCTCTATGTAAACGTATTATCAACTATGTTTGGGCTCACGCCATATTGTTGTTAGATACTTTTTAAGTAAAATCAAAATATATATATACTAGCAACTGCAAACGAGAGAGGAAATAAATCTTTCTCGAGTCTTATTTTTCAAAAGTTGTAGATTTATATGTTTTGGTATGTTTATTTTTTGGCCACAAATCAACAACAGGCTTAAGAAAAAGTCAATCCAGATAATATATTTAAACACGTTAGATAATGTATTTAAACACATTCTGATAAAGTCAATATGAAAATCATATTGGACATTAATTCTTCATAAAAGAAGTTTGATTCAAGCAATGTATGAAGTCAAAATCATGAGGTTATTTCTTTAATCAATTTTGTCGGTTAGTCTGATTTTTCGTTTTTTATTTTTTCTGAAATTCGAATACCTGCAATGCATTGCAACTGTAATCACGACTAATTAATACAATTTACGTAGGAATAAAATATTACTTACACAATACGTTAAGGTAATATCCAATAGATGAATATTCTGTATTTAGCCAAGTAGCACGGCACTGGTACCAGCCAGCGTGGGATGAATGGAGTCGGGACCAACGTAGTGTGGCGGAACCATCAGCACTCTCCATTGGCGCGGGAGAACTAAAGAACATACACACATACGGACATATTCGACTTCGTTTCTTTCATAGTTGAAAAAATCTAAATTTTTGATATAATATAAGCATGAAGCTATATTATATAAGTTATTTCAAAATATTGTATAAATTTTAATAAAAACTTTAGTATTTAGATTTTAGTATTAGACTTTAATAATTAGATTTTTGTAGAGCGGTTTAAAAACTGCAATATTTTTTCACATATTGTTATTACACATGATGGCATTATATACATTTAAAATGTAAGATTGAACGAAGTTTACGACATGGGAGGAAATCGAACCGGCATCCACAGCGTTTGGTGAAATCGTTAGTGTTTTTTTGCTAGTTAAATTACCTTTGAGGCAGAGGTATGTCACTGTCTCGAGTCCATGCTGGTCTTGCAGGTGGATTTGAGTCCACATCACATCTCAACGCGGCCGGACTGCCAGCCCACAAAGACACGCCGAAACCGGGCCATCGAGAGATTACGAATGATGGAGGGTCTTGGGGATAAGAAAATATGCAATTATGAATATAATTGATTCTATACTAATATTATAGAGTTTGTTTGTTTGAACACTCTAATCTCAGAAACTGTTGGTTCAAATTGAAAAATGCTTTTTGTATTGACTTTTTATCGAGGAAGGCTTTCTATAAAATATCGCTCTGCGAACAAGAGCAAAGAAACAGATAGAAATGTGGAAACAACATTTCAAATGAGCGTTTGTCAGGTCAACTAGTTATTGATAAAGAAAAAAAATATATTTTCCTAATACTTACAAGTGACGTGTATCTCCAGTTTCGCAGTCATGACGTCATAGTGTTTAGTTGTATTGTCCTTCAAAGGCTTGCGCTGTTTTGCTTCACACTGCAAAGTTGCGTTGTGAAGTTCCCTGGCCGCCGTTACAACGACGCGAGACCAATACATGCCATCTGTTAAGAAAAAAAAATACCTATATTAATATCGAACCAAATTGAAGGTCGCATAAAGTTGAGCTACCGCGTATATTGTTATATCTAAGACATGGTAGGGTCGTGGTCATGGGTGTATATTTAATACGGAAGTGTAGGTTGAAATTGCATTGCGCGGGAGGTTGTATGTATTTATAGGTAGAAACAATTCGACGACAACGTGTAGGAAACGGTAGCTGAATTGGTTAGAGCAACAGCACAGAACGCTGCAGATACCACTACAAGTCCTGCCCTAGTCGTAATTTTTTCAATCTATAATCGATTTTAAATCTAAATTATAAAAATGTATAAACAAATAAAAGTTTTGTTCAGTTAAATATATATATATCCAAATCAAAGACATAATTGGGTAATTATTATTAGATTCCACCTTAAATAAAAAAGTAAAATTATTTAGTAACCAAAGTGATTTGGTGCAAAATATCAAGCAGACATGTCTATACAGCATTGAAATAGCTTCATGTTTAAAACAAACTCAGACAAAGTTTATGTAAACGGCGAGTCTGCGAGGCTGAAAAGCCACGGCAACAGCTTAAAAGTTAAACTAATTTACCGTGTTTCAATTCGTTGAAGTTGGTCGTTGATTTTAAGGGCACGAATGTATAGGATTGACTAAAAACATTATGACAGGATATTTTCTCGCCAAACCTAGCACTACTTAACTGTTCAGTATTCTTGTGTATGTGATGTATGTATAATAATTTTGTATACTAGTTTCTTTTAATTTTATTCTTGTATTCCTTATAAGCTTCCTCATTATTTCTGTTGTTAGATCTTAATAATATATCTTTAGCTTTTCGAATACATTTAATTTATATTAAAGTAATAGTTATAGCGATGTTACAAAACAATTGTGGATATCAGGGTAAACATACAGCTGTTGTGCTAACTTACCCATTGAATAATTAGTTGGATGTATTCGTAAGTAGGGTCTGTGGTCCAGAGCAGGCTCCAATGCCAACAATCGCCACGACAGCTCCGGGGGTGGAACGCCACCTGGGAATAATATATTTTTAGAATAAACTAAAAACTCAAGAGCAATTTGTTACCCTTGGTGTAGTCGCGAATTTTTCGGATTTCCCAGCATAATGCAGTTTTAGTGACACCGCTATCAACACAAATCTTTAAGAAAACATGTTTTTATTGATACTTAGAGAATGTTTACCCGCTACCTATGAAGAGTCAGCTAAGAGTTTTTATCAGTTTAAATGTAACAACTTTAACGGTTTGAAACACAAAATATATTAGTTAACTTATTTTGTAATTTAAGTGAACTGTGGCAAGACGTTTCGGATCCTTTACAGCAGCCGTAGCCACGGGGAACGCTGCTATTCTATGAATACTTTTGCAAAATACAATTGCAATTTTCAAATTATTGAAATATCCGAGTAAATTACAGACAATACTCAATCATAGCATTCAATCTCACCTTCAGCGACACATTTAACTTCTAGAACAGTTTTATCCCTTACAGGGACCCAAGTGTTGCCAGCATCAAGTCGTCTCCCATCCACCGCCAAATACACGGAGCGAACGGGTTCTGTATACAAATTATAAATCTATCTAAACATCTTCATTATTTTAAATGTGTGTGTATGTATCCTAAGCTATGTGCATGCACAATTTTTACACTTAATGTGATAAATTAGTAACTACATATTAACAATTTAATATAGTCCAAATGAACATTAAAGCGTAGATTGGATAAGAAAAAAATAATCTTACAACCAGATTAATAGTAAAATTTTACCTTTAAAAAACCAAGTTTTGACTACCTTAGCTGACATATTTTTTCATACTTCTTTGGTATTATCATACAATAGAGCTTAATTAATAATAATATGATTGTATTATTATTTGATGAAGTTCTATTACAGTATCTAGTTATTAATTTTATATCATAGATTTTTGATATTAACATACATAGTAAAAATGCAATCTATGCTAATATATAAGCTGAAGAGTTTGTTTGTTTGTTTGAACGCCCTAATCTCAGGAACTACGGACTCGAATCTAAATTCTTTGTAGGGCATTTATCGAGGAAGGCTATATATAGCCTATAAAACATCGCGCTGTGACTAATAGAAGCGAAGGTACAGCGGGGTATCTTTTAATCGTGGGTTCGAGCCCTGTCTGTATTATATTTTGTTTAAAATTATTTTGTAAATGTGTAATAACGTGGGAAGATTATAAATATTCAAACCATATATTAGCAATCGGGTGGGTTGTCCAACAACTGGTCGGCCAGATCTGTCTCTTCCTCCACATCGCCACTTGGCAGCATGATTCCTGCTGGCTCTTGGTATTTCCACGGCATCACCATCACGATACGCTGATTCCCCACCATCAGGTGAAAGGGGGAGGTTCATTTGCTATACAGGGAACAAAGGCAAAACACAATTGTTGTTTATTTGAAATGCACAGAAGAAACATTAATTAAGGCTTCTATCTTATTTTTTATAACTATACTAATATATAAAGCTGAAGAGTTTGTTTGTTTGTACGCGCTAATCTCAGGACCATTGGTTAGAGAAAAAAAAACTGTGTTGGTTAGAACAAATATCGAGGAAGGCAATAGATTAATAAAAACATCGCGCTGTGACTCGTAGGAGCGATTAAACAGTGGAAAATGTGCAAAAATAAAACCAACAAAAAGAAAAAATAATTACTTTTTGTTGCTTTAATATTTAAATCTTTTGTGCAGACTAACAAGTTGTTTTATATTTTTTTTAAGGTAACAATTAAATGTTAATAGTACATTATGATAAGTTGAAAACAAAAACACAAAAATATTAATTTACTTTATTAGTAATACTGGCTGTTTTTGTACCTTTGCCTAAAAAAAAAACGTTGATGCGCGCGCATCGCTTATTTGTGGACAAGTAAAAATAATTCCGCGCGCTTTTTCTTTTCGCTGTATTGTTTTTATTTATTTCCTCGTAAATATGTTATAAAACGTCGTATGACATACGTGCGCTTTAAAAATTACAGCCTCTGCTTTCTTATAGCCCTCGCCGATGGCTCGGGCAGTAATATCGCCTCGGCTGTAATTTTCAACTTACCGCACCGTACTATTAACAATTAATTGTTACTTTTTAAAAATATAAAACAACTTGTTAGTCTGCACAAAAGATTTAAATAATAAAGCAACATGTAATGTATATTCTTACCTCATTATCTTTGTACCACTTCAGGTTAGTGGCATTGACAAGGTCACACACTAGTCTCGCCCTAGCATGTGCTTCTACTAATAATTCTTTGTCTAGTTTTTGAGGCTGGAACAAAGAAACAAAAGACATTACTACCTTTGTATAGCTATAAAAATGTATTTGCAGGTTTTATATTTTAAATACCGCTTATTATTAACACATTGCGTTTAGGTTTAACAGACTGGCTCCTAGGCTCAGTGGTTAAACGAATTTTAATAAGCGCTATCGGTCTTAGGTGTGGATTTCATACAAACGTAATAAACAGTAATTTTAAAAGTTAAAAGAAGGTAGCTAAAAGAAGGTTAAAATAATTTGACTAATATATTTTGACCGTTAAACGGGTTTATTAAGATGGGCACAACTCAACTAGGCCTTATAGTATTATACACGTATTTACTATTATTACTATTAATAGGAGAAACGAAAAATCTAAATTTTACCATATTCCTACCACTCATTGAATATCCAGATTTCCAGACGAAGTCCAACATGTTTCAGAAAATTATAAATTGAAAAATTGTTTGGTTACAGCGCTTACCTTGCTAACAAAATGATATATTTATTAACTTTACTATTTTTAGTCTTTTGTAGTAGTAAATCGGGTTTCCCTGGTAATCCAATTTTATTTTTGTCGGCTTTATTATATAGTTCGCCGAATTTCTTCAACAATGCTTATAATATATATTATATTTTACTCTTGGGCAACGTTCTTACCGAAAAATCTAATAACAAAATATGCGGAGATCTTTGATAGCTGCCTGATTCTATTTTTGATACATTTTCGAATTCATTGTGACTAATACAATTACATTATATCTAAGTAATATATAAAGCTGAAGAGTTTGCTTGTTTGCGTGACTGATAGGAGACTGTACAACGTGACGGAATGCGGAAGATTATTCATCTCCGTGGGTTTGAGATACATACGCTGCGAAAATGGTTGACAATACTCAAAAAATGTGTAGGAAATAATGATTCCCCTTTTAAGTAAATGATCTAAAACAAAATATACGCAACACTATATGTCTATTTTTAAATTAACTTGCAAGAACGACATTACGCGCACGCGATCGTGCCTATATATAAAGCTGGGTTGTTAGCGAGCATAAATAATGGACCAATATCGTGGTTAATTTATAAAAAAATGAAGAGAAGGTTTGGAAAAAATAAATTTCGATGCCCAAAATAACTATTCGACGCGGACGAAGTCGCTGACACAGCCAGTATAATAAAAACGTAAATCACTGTGGTCACTTTGTCATCTTACTGGCGTTTCTTTTAACAATAGAGGAGGACAGACAAGCTTGAGGTTCACTCTATGTGAGATGAAATACCCCAGTCACATAACATTTAAACAAGATGTGCTGTCGATCTATTTTGGCTTTGAAACTTGACAGCTTTTTCATTTGTGTATAGTTCGTGAATCGAAATTTCGATATGCCTACCACGCATTTAATATCCAGATTACCAGTCGAAGTCCAACATGTTTCGGAAAAAATAGAAATTGGAAAATTATAAACATTAGAAAACTTTATTATTTTTTACATGTTATTGCACATGAAGGCACTATATAACTTAAAAATCAAAAATAATTTAAATAAAACACTTTAACGGTTTAAAACGCGATATATTAGTTAAACTTATTTAGTTTTAACTTATTAAGTTAGTTTTAATTATTGCAGCAGCCGTGACCACGACTGCTGCAAAGCATCCGAAACGTCGGGCCGAAGTTAAAAATCATTTTCAAATAAGTTTAACTAATAATCGCGTTTAAAACCGTTAAAGTGTTTTATTTAAATGTGTACTACTCGCGTAAACTATAGACAGTATGTAATCAAGAATAAATTGAAAAAAATTTCGACTCGGGCAGGACTTGAACCGGCATCGTCAGAGCAACAGCACGGAACGCTGACGATGCTGGTTCGAGTCCTGCCCGAGTCGAAAATTTTTTCAATTTATTTTCGATTTTTAAATTAAATTAGAAACATGTTGGACTCGGTGGGGTTCGAGCCCACGACCCGTTGATCACCCATACATTGTTGTTGGACCAACGAGCCCCGTTTATCAGACCGTTTAATTGCCTCTTAGTTATGCGTCACTTGACACTCACTGTGCGTGAGTTACCAGAATAAGGGCTCAGATCTCAAATTTAAAATTCACAAAAGCTGTTTTCCAAGAAAATTGGAGCAAATAAAAAAAACGAGGAAGTTACAATTTTCTCTCAATTTGAACGAAGGCAGTTAATAAAGGGGCTCTCAAAATTAATTGAGTTCCACTCGAGTCGGGGCTGGCTTATTTATAAGAACATTTGAATCCTTTAAGATGTTGTGTCTGAGCAACAGAATACAATAATTTGAAGCTATTTTCGTGAAAAGTTAGAGTTGAGACTGGTTTTGGTCGTCTGCGACTTTGATTGTACTTGGCTGTTGAGGCTTTTTCACTTTATGGGACAAATACAAAGTTCGGTGAACGAAATTTTAATTCCACCACCTGTAACTTTCTCATTCGAATTTTAAATTACAAAAGCCCAAATATTTATTTGAAATGTAATAAAAACTTGTAATATACTACTAATATTTAATAATAAGTTTGTTTGTTTGTTTATACGCTCTAATATCAGGAACTAATAGTTTGAGTAGAAAGATTATTGATTGAAATATTATTTGTTGGAGAAAGGTTATATAACATCACGCTGCGACCAATGCCAGCGAAGAATCAGTGAAAATGAGAAAAAATATTTATCTTTGAAGGCTTCCGTTGCGTTCGCTTCAAAAACGGTTCAATTCAAGAATAATTCTTCTTTAAATGATCAAAAAAAATGTCTACCATAGTGTATATCTATCTTTTAAGATTAACTCGCAATAACGACATTATGCGCACGCGATCGTGCCTCTATATAAAGCTGAGGTTGTTAGCGAAAATAAATAATGATGCCAAAAATCCACGCGGACGAAGTCATATTATTAAAATCGCAAAATCAGGACATATTCTTTAGCATTGCAAGCCAGCTACACACTAGTGTAACCAAATTTTTTTAAGATATGCTTCTTACCTGCGGCGCCTGTACTTTTTCTCTTCTCGCTTCTGCTTCTCGAGCTTGGTCTCTAGGCTCATCTCTCATTACAGGCGAAGGCCTAATAACGAAAGCGTCCACTCTTGATGAAGCCCTCGGTCCTGGAGCGGCTCCTGCATCTCCAATAGCATCCCGAACAGCACCTCGAATGTTCAGAATCGTATCCCCGGTTTTGACACGTCTTGACTACGAAATAAAACTAATTTTACAACCAACTCATGTTATTTCTACTAACATATTGCATAAATACAATAGACCGCTTCAAATTTATATGAATAAACTTAAATGCTTATTATTACGTTTTCTTCTTTCTTAAACTTTAAAATCGGTTTTAAATTGAAAAAAAATACGACACTGGCGGGACTTGAACTGGCTTCCACAGCATTCCGTGCTGTTGCCCTAACCAATTGACCTACCGCATCCTACACGTTATCGTGAATTTTTTTCAACCTGTATAGTACAGTATTTTCAATCTTAACACTGGAGTTTTAACGGTTGTTTTAATATCTTATGCTTTGCAACTTAAGAAAATCATTGATATTACAAATTTTACTAGACCAACTATTAAAATGGATATATATTTTATTCTAATAATAATATACTGTGACCAATTGAGCTTGGGTGGGCTGATTTTGAAAATTGTCTTGATTCACTTGTAATCACGCAAATTTAAAATTTACTAAATCGAATCACATGTACGTTGGTCTTTGCATGACCAAAATTTATGAACGTTTCACGTACCTTAGTCGATTTATCCCATCCACTACTTCGTTTAATTCTTGCGTCATCCTCAACTACTTTATCATCTACTCTAGCGTCGTCCGAGCGTACTTCATCAGAATTCGCGCCGGGCGCTACAATAAAACCCCTCTCGCTGACTTCATTTATCGGCTTAAACGGATTCGTTTCATATAAATCTAAATTGTTATCATCAAACATTTCAAATATATTCTGGGGTTCTTCTAGTCTTTCATTGAGGTTTTCGTTGCTTAATTCTAGTTCGAGTTGGTTATTCTCATAGTTTAGATTTTTGTCATCTGTGTATGGGTTTTGGTTAAGTTCAGTTGTGTCGTGCTCGAGGATCGAGTCTTGTAGGGGCGGGTAGAGAGGGCCATCTCTGAAGATGTCTGCGTCGAGTGGCGCGGAAGAAGGTTCGGAGCTGCTCTGGTCCGTGATAACAGCGGGGAGAAAGGCTGTTAACAAACAATAAACATTAAACATTGTACACAAATAAGAAGTCTCATTTTGAGGGGCTAATCTAATCGTAGCAATATCGCTACCAGGGAGCCGTGGGTTCTATCTCCACCTGGCTCTTCTGTTTTTTTTTTCAGTTCATACTTTTTTCTGATCTGAAAATCTTAATAAAGTTTTCGATTTCCATAGATTTAAAGTGTTGAATAATAATCAAATATTCTGAGTATGTGAAAAATTACGTCGAAACTTTTTTTTGGTATATATATAAGAGTATTGTGTCCACTTAATTGTGGGGTTAAGAAAATAATGGTGACGACGAAGTACGACTTGACATTTTAATGCCTATCCTAACTATGCTGAGCTGAGCTATGCTCTACAATGCTGATCGTGTATTTAAAGTCATTGCATATGTTTTATAATTTATGTGAAACAGCTAAACAACCATTTGAGATTTGTCAATTTAAAATCATTGTTATAAAAAAATATACAACATTAATTATTTGACAACAACATTATTGTTTCATTTCAGTTACAAGAAAAATAACTGTTAAAATACTCAAATGCTTAATTGTAAGGGACATCGCTCCGCAAAAACAAAGTTGCTACAACACCAATTTATTGTAAAATGAAATGATGTGCTCTATGTATAAATATTGACTTCCAGGAACCCTTTTTTTAGCTAGAGAACTCGTGATAAGTTAAAACATTCCTAGCATCATGTCACATCACCATAATTACGTCCCAACCCCGGGCATTCCCAAATCCCGCGTCGTGGAGCGCGTGCCTGGAATTTCAATATCGCATTTATCTGGAATCGTCCGGGATCAACTAGTTATGGTTATCTCGTATTTAGACTTCAAAGAAATATGGGTATTAGGATCTTTGATCGCGCTAAAAAAATAGCCAAAGTCTTCCGCTTCGTTAATCTCTAGAGCCTTTTAATTTAAAAGGTTATAGACTTTAACTTATTTCTTTTATATTCTTTGTTAGATTAGGTTTTTAAGTTAAATCTAATTTTCTTCTATTCAAATTTATGGATGGATAGTTAGTGTCAATTCATTTTCAAAACATCAAGTCAATGGATTTCAATAGAGTACGTAAATGGACGTAAATAAGTATACACATACCATAGATTTAGGATAAGGAAATCTTCGAAACAGCTTTATAATAAAAATCCGTTCGGGTCACAAACCACCGTTCGCAGATGAAAAAGCCTTGAAGTTTAATCGCGTTTCGGTTTGAGTCCGTGATTTCCGAAAATCATTAAAAAACCCAGGTCTTTCCTAAAAGTTATTATAATAAGACTTAATTCAGCACTGTCAATATGATTAAAATTTGCCCTCACCCCGCTATAAATAGTCCACTCGGGAGCAGTTGGTATGTTTGTCACGTCCAGCTTTCAACTCAATTAACTACTATTTACCGAACCTAGAACCGATAGCGAACTCAGCTCGCAAGACGAATCTTAAGTATAATACGATAAGATTAGACAACTTTTGCACTAGAATACATAACTATTCTTAGCAACTAGGGAACTAATAACTACTAATTAGAATTCTTTTTTAACGGTTTAAAATATCTTCATATACTCCGCGCTAAATTCTAATTAACGCTCTTGTAACTAATATAAGAAATAAAAATTAAGTGAGGTAGTTTATTATATACGTTACCTATATATTGAACACGAAACCCCAGTTAAATAAGTACAGTAGAAACGAACATAAATGTCAATGTTCACGCGAAAAAATAAAAAGTGTTTAAATAGAAACATTTAGTTATTTTTTAGTAAAAGATAACTCTTGATATGGTAAATTATAATATACTGTCTGTAATTCACGCGAATAGTACACTTTTAAATAAAACATTTTAACGGTTTTAACGCGAAATATAAACGCAGCGTAATGCGTACTCCTTAGTCTTAATTTCTTGAGCGTTGCATGCGGGTAGAAATGTAAAAATAATGTTGATTTGTATAGTGTTCTTAAGTCTTTGAGAAGTAAATGACTAAACCTTAAATATATTAGTTAAAATTATTTACAATTGGTCACCACGTGATCACGGTTGCTGTAAGGCATCCGAAAAATTATAACACGTTTAATTAATATATTTCGCGTTTTAAACCAACTTTTTTTTACTTGTAAATTATTTGTAATCGTCACCTGCATTGTACTGAGAATAAAATATGTTTTATGTATTTTTTAATTTTAAATAAAGAAACATTCCGGTTAGAATCACAAGATAAGCAAAAAATTATCAGTGTATCTCTAAGCTAGAACTAATATTGTACTTCATAAAACCTAAATCGTACAACAATCAAAATTGTATGTCCTGTCCAGCCGAAACCATCATCTGTTCATTGTGTCTGTCAACTTTGCACGTTTTAAAGCCGTACTGGAAACCTCACTTTTCCCATAAAACTTACGACGCTGTTAATCTTCGCTCCGCAGAATTATTTATAAGAAGGCGTGTTTGTAAAGAAAGGTCTTTAATAAAATATTAACAGCGGTTTAACTTGACTCGTCGACGTTTTATCTGTACGCGACAGCGGTTGACTTTAATGTACGCAATCTTTGAAATGGGGTTTACTCTTCATTCGATCGATTTACGTAACTTTTGAAGTTATATCTACTACTTTACGCTACGCTAAAATAGCTTAGATTAGTTGTTTTGGGCATCCAAATTTGCTTTTACAAGCCTCCTCTTTATTTTTATAAATTAAAGCTGTTACCCATCGGTCGAGTCCCATCGCTCGCGATCCGTCGTTCGGGTCCAGTCGTTCTTGCAAATTAATCATAAAAGATAGATATATAGTGTCACAAAATCACTCTTTCATCTATTTACTGTTGGGTATTTTAAACCGTTTTCAGCGTTTTCAGCGTACGCAACAGGTACCCACAAAGGTGAATAATTTCCCCCGATCTCTCTACATTTCCCTGAGACTGTAAATTCCGACCTGTAGTTCCTGAGCGTTAAAACATACAAACAAACAAACTCTTCAGCTGTATACATAGTAAGTATAGATAATTAATTTTAATTACCTCTACGATTCTAATAATATTTTAATTAATATACTTCGCGTTTTAAACCGTTAAAGTGATTTATTTAAATGTGCAATACTCGCGTAGACTCCAGACAGTGCTGTACTAAATGCGCAGCATTTAAAAGGAAACAAATGTCAAATCGGCAAAACAATTAGCGACACGAAGTTGGAACTAGCCAGCAACTACATAATAACCACTATAGGTGTAGCTCAAAGCAATAATTATATTTGCGAAACTTTTCCAACAGTGTCCGATGTTGGAAAAGTTTTGTGTCCTGCGGTTTTTACGGGACAAACGAGTTTCTGATAATACATTTGTTGGAGAATAGTATTAATATATGTACCGTATGTTCCTGAAGTTATAATCGAAGGGCCTTTTTGGTAAATTGAATTTAAGTTATACGTGCCCTACTAATGACCTGCTTGTGCCAGCTTGGCTGAAGGGTTAAACGCATTGCTTTAAGCCCGAGGAGACCTCAGTTCGAGTCCCACAGAAACTCAAAAAGCTCGTTTTAAACCGTTACGTTGAAATCTTGACTACTTATAGTAAATATATAGTATTATAGAGACTACTTAAGGCTAAGAATTACATATAAATCTGAAAGTACTATTAGTTTTTATATTTTAACTTAACAGATTTTTTCTTTCCATATTCTTTCTTTTTCATATAAATATCTTTATAAAAATATATATGTATTCAATATATTTCGGTTTCTTTAAAACTATGTACTTACAGAGTTTTCAAATAAGATTCGTTTCAAAAAAATATTATTAAATCAAAAATCTGCTTTAGATTTAAAAGATTTGATGAATCGAGCGTGACTTTTATAGCGGTCAGTGATAGAGATTACTGAAAATTTCAGGGGAAACTCAAGTAATTCGTGTCAATTCAACTGAAATGCCGTCTAATTTGACTACATTTGGCTTCAGGTTACGACCCAGATATTAGACCGGGTCAGTAATTTAATTATATTGAACCTTTTTTGCATCATTCTGCTATCTGTACCCCTAATAAGAGTAACAACATTATCTGTTTCTAAAATCATCCATCGTAATTCCCTCTTCAGAACCATCCATTTACAATCTGTTGTCAAACATTAAATTAAATTCGGCTCTAATAACTTCGCTCCTGTCTTTGAGATTCACAATATTCCAAGTTTACTGGAAGTGAAATTCCCTATTTTAAAATCTTTCAAGCGTTGAAATCAGAAATCTCCGGTAAAGTGCAAAATTAAATGTCTACTTGTTCATAACTTTGAAGAATAGGTAAATCTAAAATTTCTCCAGATATAAATTTTAAATAGTGACCTATCTATGGTGTATTTTTTCTAACGTGGCAAAGGACCACACCAAATATGACCGATTACAAACCATAGAAAACTAGTAATAATAATAATAATAATAATAATAAAACACTTTATTGCACAAACAAATAATATACAGATATAGTAAAACTAAAATAATTATTTACATAAAAAAGTTAGTGCAAAGGCGGCCTTATCGCCTATGGCGATTTCTTCCAGGCAACCTTTGTATAAAGAAAAGGAAAACAAAATAACAATAAATGAGTAAAAGTCAACGAGAATGAGAGAGAATATGCAATAAATTGTAAAATACATTGATATCAGAACTAACACAACAAAAAACGTTAACACACTAAATATTAAAAACTTAAGATTTAATTTTGATTTTACAAAGATGCAACTTTATAAATAATAAAAGTAAAGCCAATAACAAGACTGGACAAACTTTCAAGAAAATGTTGTTTGATTTTGGTCTTGAAGGAGTCAAGACTTTGTGAGAGCCTAATCGCGGGTGGGAGCTTATTCCATAGGCGAACAGCCTGAACAGAAAAAGAAGAGTCATAGCATTTAGATGAATGGGCAGGCATAGAAAGGAGACGGTTGTATGAGGAACGAAGGTCAAGTTCATGGGAAGAACCCATAAATATAAACCTTTGTTTAAGATAGGTAGGAGGCGAGGATCG